GCCACCCTAATAATAAATGTATGCCCATATCCATTTCCAACTTAATTTTTCTCTTTTATAACATAACACTATTGGATATGCTATAAGTTTACTTTTGTATGTTCTTTGCTTCTCATCATGAGAATGTGAGTTCTGTGAAGCTGGAGTTCTGTTTTGGTCACTGCTATATCCCTGCATCCAGAGGATGGCCTGGCACATAGTAGGAGCTCAATAAATGTCGGATGAATGACTGGATTTTAAGGGCACTATCATATGCCAAGTTGGACTCTTGTTCTTCTTGGTTTTATACTATAAAGAGATTCCTCTTTCCTCCCCCTAATTTGTCCAATTCCCTTTGCTGGTGCTATTCATAAGATTCATAATCTTATTCTTAATACCCATTTTTCATTTAATTACTGTTATGATATTTCAGTTAGTAAAAGAAAGAAACATTTTATGAAATGAAATGAAATCAAGACATAATAAATACTCGAATTCAGGAGACATTTGCAGCAGACGCAGCACATACAAACCTCCGGCCTGCCCAGCACTTGAGCCCAGATCCGAGGACTCCTTGGGGAGGGCCCCCAGCCTCTGCCTCGTTAGCACCTGCCCCATGGGACTGAGTGAGGCATTGAGGGTCTACTAGAGTGGATGTGTCTTTCTCACTTTACCCTGCTATAAGTGGGGTCAGGGATGGTGGATTTAGAAGCAAGTCCTGTGCTTCTAATTTTGTCTGCTAACAGATAAAAGTCAATATTATGTTGTAGAAGATTGCATTTTAAGGGTTAGAAATACTGATATTTGCATCATGTACCCATACTTGCTACCTCTCTGATTTCTATCTGTCATTTAATCCATTGAAACTTCAGTTTTGTCATCCACAAAGTGAGGATAATAACTGTCCACCTTTCAGACTCATTGCAAAGGTTAAATAAGAAAAAGTGTGTGCAATAAGTAGCTCACGGCAGTCACTTGGCAAATTATGGATTCATTTCCATCCTCCACATCATTGAGAAGCATTAGTTCCTAGACGAATCTGCCAAAATTGCATACAACACTTTCCCCTCTATAAACTGGTTTACAAAATCTGCTTGCATTGGGGGCTGGATCAAACAATTAATGTTGCTGGAGTAAAATAAGGTTGTGATGAATGCCATGCTCATCCCCCCACTGGCCTCCACATTGAGCCCTCCTTCCTGATCAGGCCCCGCCAGCTGCCTCTTCCAAAGGTGGCTCCGAGCCAGGCCATTCTGGTAATCCCAGCTCACTGTCAGCCACCTTTGGCCTTAGGACACCATCTGACTTCACTGGACCCCGGTTTTATGACCCGCAGAGTGGGTACCATATGATGGTACTGCTGCCTCACAGTCTTCCTATGTTCAAATGCAGATTCGTGGGCTCTACCCCCAGATGCTCTGATCAAGCAGGTCTGTGCTGGGGCCAGACAGTGTGCATTTTTGACAGCTCTGGGTTTGTTGATGCTGCTGGTCAGGACCACTCCCCAAGCAGCCAGGTGCGCAGTATTTAAGATAGGACTTAATAGGTGCTCAGCAGATGTCACCTGCTTTACTAACACTTTCAGTACTATTGTTACTGGTACTTAATTAACACCTTTTTAATTATAAAAACTGTTAGAGAAAATATCCTGTCTCCTTCCAGGCATCCCTTCACCTAGAGACCCACATGTATACAGACAAGTGGGATTTCCAGTAGAGCATGATCAGCACCTGCTTCTTTGCAGGAACCTTCTGGGGACTTTCTCTCTAACTTCACTTCGCTGACTCAGCTAGCTGCATGCTGTAGGTTATTTCAATACTGTTTTATGGATTAGGAAACAGGCCTGGCAAAGTTGCCTGCTGACCTGGACCCAGACGGAATAAGGCAGAAAAAAAAAATAAACTGGGTTTTGTAAGTCCAGGATTCCTATTAATTCTCCTCCCCACTGCTCTATGTCATCTAACCACTGAGATTTGCTTTGTTGTGTTTTCCTGGAATGGACTCACATGTTACTGAGTAGTCCATTGAGTGGATATTTTGACAATGTACAGACATCATCTAATTGTCAGTGACTATGCTGAGGTATGATCTATGATAAAAAGAAAAAAAAATACCCTAAGTCACACTTAGATGTCAAAGATTTCCTTGTGAACCAGCGTTTGGAACCTAGAGGTCTCCTGGCTTCATAGATAGGCTGTTTGCTCCACTCTGACATCACCATCCCAGCCCCCCAGCCCCTGAGGGCAGCAGGAGGTGCCTATGGCCACCAACAAAGGACCCTGCAGAAACCGGCTCTGGGCTCTCCTCTCTCCAGTGCCCCAGGGAGAGCTCCCAGCTGGCCTTGCCCAGGAAAGCACTGATTTAATTTAGTGTAATGACTCTCGGAGTGTGTCTGTTCTACTGCGAGCCGAGTGCTCTCCCCTTGGCAGCTCCCCTCCAATGCCTGCTGCAGACTTTGTGTCTGCAATTGGGCTGAAGAGACACAAACAGAATGCCCGGCAGCCTGATGGCTGGACTGGAGTGCTGTGTGCCCAGGCTGGTTGTCTCCCAGGTCTGCAGGAAAGCCCCAAAGTGCCACAGCTGTGGGCTATAAGCAGTGAGCTTTGTGGGCATGGGTCTCAGCCCAGGGAGAAGGATCTGGACACAGGCCTTGTGAAGGGCACTCACCTGCAGAGTTCTCTATGAAATGTGGCACCTCTTCTCTGTTGGGGTTCCATGCTCACAGCATAATGAAAAGGGGGACTGAGAGCCTGGGATCCCCTGGAAACCTTCTTCTAATTCCAGTGCTGCAGGAAACCCCTAAACTCCTCAACAATGTCTGCTTTTCACCTCAGAGCAGTGTGAGCAGAGGCCTCCATAGACACTATATTTCATATTCACTATTAAACAAATACTCAGAATCATCTTTACCACTGAAGGTATTAAACGCCTGATGCATCAGGCCCAAGTAAGAGGTTCTTAAGGTGTGGAGAATAAAATTACTCTCCAAGAAAGGATCTAAATGCCAGCCTTGGCAACTGTGGCCTCGGTTTTTCAGACAAAGGTGCTGTGCACAGCTTGCCCTGCTCCAGAGACGGGGGCCTCACCCAGGATGTGGAGCAGCCAAGACAGGGGCAGCCTCTCCCTCCTTTCCCTGTGCCCAGCCATTTACTCAGTGCTCATTTCATCCAGCACCCTGCCTACATGTTTATGTCAATGTTGGATGTTGTCCCTTTGAACACATCTGTCCCCATCTAAAATTTGGCAACGAAAATATAGCTCTGAGTACTCCCCCCACCTCCCAGCCAGGTAGGTAAAGGGCTTTCTTGGCAGGGTTGACCCAGGAGACTGGGAGTGACCCACCCTGCCTCACCACTGCAGGTGGCAGGACTGGGATATGGGGGGAGGGCTTAAGTTGAGCTTAAGGGAAAATCTGAATGGCCTGTGATGTGTGAGAAGCTGTTTCTCTTTGCCCTCCTGACCTTCCTTTTCTTAGTGAAACTATCATGGCCTATTTGTAGCATGCTAACCCAGGTTCAGAGTGCAGTTTACACAGGAGCAGGCAGGCTCTATGTTCTACACACAGAGGGCATCTATCCACATGCTTTTCTCCAGGTCCCACTGTGTGTCCTTAGCCCATGTAGTGCCCATGTCCCCTTCCTGGGGTCTGGGTATACCTAGGCCTGACTCTGCCCCATAGCCAGGCTGACCTCTGCCAGACCTGGAGTCTTGCTTCCTGTCCCATGCTTGTTCCCCCAGAGAAGGGGGTCTTTGGCATTTGTGGGATAAACTCACAAAAGTGAAGCTCAGACAGACCTTCCAGGCCAAGCTGGAACAATATGGAACAGCCACTTAGCCCAACCACAGCAGTGCAGGACTGGCTGCCAACATACCCCCCACTGCCCCATCATCCTTTAGAACCAGGACAGCAGAGCAGTGCTGACTGAGCAGGGCTCTGCCTCATCCCTGCCTGGAAGGGCCTCTTGAGAGTTCCTGCTAAGAAGCACCTGCTTTCAGGGGCTCCAGCATTATTAGCTGGTCCACTGCTCTCCCCTGTTCCTCTGTGATGTCATGAAAGGGGGAAGGGAGAAAGGACAATGTATCAAGGGACTCTTCTCTCCCCAAACAAAATGAGATCAACACAGAAACCAGTAAGAAGCAGTGAGAGGCCATGCTGGGGTCGGCCAGGACACCTGTTTTCAAGCCAGGAGAAATAAATGTTTCAGACACCAAGCCTGCCTGAATCTGCTGTTTTCAGCCTGAGCTCCAGAACCCTGGATGCTGGAGAGGAAGCCCTGAGCGCTGCGCACCCAGAGGACACACATGAGTGTGGGCACCACGCTCTCCACCTTGCCGACCCAGGGAGCCACCTTGTCTTCCTCTGGTTGGGCTGGGCTGAGGTTTTGGGTGTGGTAACACTGAAACACACTGTAACTGGCAGGTATGTGTCAATTTGATTAATAAAAATGGGAACGGAAACTGTTTCTGCATGAATAGTCTTCATTTGCTAGAGAACATCTTCCAAAGCCTGGCTTCCATGAAGGCACAACAGGGCAAATGCTTTGCATGAAAAAGACCTGGGAACCAATGCCTCCAGAAACCTTCACGCTGGAAGAGGGAGGGCGTGATTCACCCTGTGATGGGCCATTCCTCTCACCGAACTTCAGCTGAGGAGTACTGAAGTACAGGCGGCAGACACTATAACCTGTTTTATATGAATGAGCCTGTCACAGACAGAACCACTCCTCACCTGCTGTCCTTGCCCTGGGCACAGCGTCTCTCAGCGCTGGGTCGGTCCTGCTGGCAAAACCCAGGCGCCCGCTCACAGGCAGCTTCGGTCCCAGATTTGTAAAAAGCAGCAGAAGACTCCAGCACTCACCAGTCCCAGCAGCCTGAGGTGAGGCCCATGACCTCCCTCATGGGCCTGTCCTCCAACTATAAACTGCAGGCCCCTCAGATAGCAAGAGCTGAACAGGCTTCTCGGGCTCTCCTCCTCAGTGACCCGGGTAGGCTGTGTGTGTGGCCGACAGAGACAGGCTTACCTCGTGGGACAAGTAGAAGGCTGCAATGCCCAAAGGCCAGAAGCAGCAGAGCATGGAGAAGACGCTGAGGCCCAGGTGGTCCCTTGGGGGCATCATGAGGAAGTTGTCCTCACTCTCTGTGTCACTCGAGTAGTCACTCTGCAAGACAGAAGAGGACAGGGATGGTACAGAAGAAGAGAGCATCACTAGTGGAATCACTGTACGATGCCCCTAGACATGGGTGCTGAGTCTGGAATGGAGAAAGCCCCTCTGGGAAGGTCACTGCTGTTATTGCCTACAAGTAGACTTCCCCCAAGAAAGGAAGCCCCCAGTTGAGGAGATCCTTATCAAGAACAAAAGAAAAAAATACTAAGTACTTGGCTCTTGAGTCGTTCCATTGAAGATCAAATCCTACAGAAGCCCATTATTTCACAGATCTTTGGGACCTAGTGACACACAGTGGGGATAAAGTTTTAATCTATGCAAGGATGGGACAGGCACTCTCAGAAGGCCACACAAGGATGGGACTCCTCTCTTTATTCTAAGACTTCAAACAGGTTTATAGGACAAGGAGGGCTGGTGTTGGGCAAGGGGACACCGTCTCTGAGCCCCCTTCATTTCCCTAGACTTTGGTCTGAGTTAGGACACTGCTGGGCCTGGTGTCAACCCCGGGTGAAAGTGCTATCTCCAGAGGAGCTGATGGCTGCTTTGTTTGGAAGCTTCTCTGTGATGAGCCCACTTAGTGGGCCTGTGAGCTCAGCACAGGCCTGCCAGAGCCTCCTAGGGAGCCTGAGGTAGGGGGTCAGGGACTGGCACAGGGCTTTGTAAAAATCCATGGAAGACTCCATCCCTCACTAAGCAATGACAGCCATGGACCAAACCTCCCTGCAGAAAATCTCACTACTAGCTCCACGCACTAAATGGCTACTGTCCTGCCAGCACCTCCAGGTCTAGATGTTATGACTAGAGGATGCTTTTTGCCTAATTGGTTATTCCATTTGCTGGGCCCCCATCATGAATTTTCTCTCCTCATCAAAACATGGCACACTCACGCTGACTCATCCAAAATCCAAGGCCAGCCTCTCTAACTGCTTATTTTATGCAAAGATAAAATCTCATTTTACTCCAGATTTTGTTTCCTAAAAAAGAAATGGAGCATTTCTTTCTGAAAGAGGGTCATTAGCTTCCTCACTCTCTTTGCCAGAGACAGAGGTTGTTAAACATGCAGCCTCTGGATGCAGGCTGGAGACATTCAGTGCTCAATGCAGCCATGCTGGCTACTTCCTCAGGTGGCTTTAGGGGCAGGCAGTGACCTGAGGCACCAAACCTTCCGGTGGATACCCCATGTGAGCGCTGTGCTGCTGGCATCGCTGCCCGGTCCACCTCCAGCAGTGCCCCCATGTGCCTCCCCTGACATTCGCATGCACACACAAAGCCCACGTGGGACCATGGTCCTTCTCTTGGTTAACTAAATGCACATATCACTGCCAATCAGAGCCTCTAGTCAGCGTGCAGACAGACGGGGAGCTGCAGGGAACTAATGGAAACTTCCCGTTAGGACTCTGTTTCTATGTAGTTGAAGAACAGGCAAATTCTGATGATCTCATTCAAATCACAAACAAGGACCTTCTCCAGAGGGCCTGTGACTGAAGTGGGTGATGCGCTAGACAGTGGGTGTGGACACACTCTCACACATGCGCACACACCTACACACCCCGGCGGGTCAAGGACTGGAAGGCATCACTTCTCACAGAGGGCTGGCTCCTTTCCACTAGGCAGGCTCTCTGCCCTGGGGAGTCACCTGCCACTGGGGCAACATCCCCTCCGTGAGTTTGGGACTGTATGGCTTCTCCTCCATAGAGCCCTGTCTGTGAAATTCTATTCTTTTCACTCTGCAGCACTGCTTTCCATGTGGTCTCCTAAACAATGACGGGAAATGAAAATCACTGTCCTTATGTCTGTCTGGGGAGGGCACTGAGCAGCCCCAGGAATGCACAATTCATGGGTGAGACCTGGGCCCAGAGGGCTAGCCAGGGAGAGATGTACCTGCTGGGATGCCGATATCTTTGATCTGAATGAAGGATGTGCAATGTTTTAGGCAGAGCCTGAGTGTCTTCACAGCTGTGCATCTCCAGACAATGCTTGGCCTCCAGACCTTCACTTTGGAAACAGGAGTTGGCTGTCAGCACTGTGTATGTGGCTGAGCCATACCATGAATGGGCCTTTGCATGAGATGCTGGTGATCTCTGGGAAGGGAGGCACCTACAGTGACAATCCCAGGGCAACTCGTGAGCAGAGAGCCCCTGAGAGAGGTAGAGGACCAGGGATAAAAGGACAGCCACTTCTTCCAGCCCTCAACCCAGACCCTGAGCTAATAATCTTCACACCAATGAGTCAGCGTGCTGCAGGTGGATATGCTTGCACACAACCAACAACTTTGTCTATGAGTATTTTAGTTTTTTGGCTTTTGTAGGACTTCTTGTTTGTTTTATTTTACTAAGAGTTTTATATACCAGCACTCTGGATTCTCACAGCAACTCTGGAAATAAGTGTTGTTACTATTTTTGTTGTTGTTGTTCTTTTTGTTTTATGAAGGACAAAGCTGGGCTCTGTGAGCTAAAAGCCTTGCCAAATCACAGAACTGCCCAGTCAGTGGCCACTCCTTCCAGAACTCTATACTGTAAACTGTGCTGGGCAGTAACCACTTGGCTCAACGCAAACCCCATTTTGGCTAAATTTGCTTCTTGCGCAAATGTGAGATGTCTTTTCTGCCTCGCCTTCCCCAGTGATTACAATGACTGCTTCTGGACTGATATGTTTGATGGCAGCAGTGGGATGGCCAGTGGCAGTAGTGGCCAGTAAGAGCCTTCTCAATCACGTTGCCAGAGCATGTGAATTGTTGCTGCAGACCACACAGGTACGCTGAGCTCTGGCTTCTATTTTTGGAACCAGCTTAGAATTACACTGCTATCACCATGAAGCAAAGAATTAAATTTCAGGGCACTCCCCCAAAATCTTCACAGACTTTTATTTAGAAGCATAAGGGAACCACACTCTGTAAATTGCAAAGTTGTGGCTACACGGTACCAAAGTAATTAGTCAATTTTGATCAAAATAGATTTTAAAGATTCAGACAAATTACAGGGCAGACAAAAACAGCCCAGTTCATTTTATGTTCTGTCTTCCACCGGCGGCTGTTCTGTGGGTATAAGCAGCCGTGGACATCTTGCCATTAAACAGGGAGGAGAGTAGAGGAGATGAGTCCAGCCTGGGCAAGTCTGCATAGATACCAATAAACCAAATAGGGAAAACACACAACCACCAGTACCAAGAAATTCATCATGCACAGCAGCTGCTTCTAAAAATCCTTTTCATGGGTCATCAGATTGAAGAATTGCAAGGCAGACTAAAAGCATTCCAAGGGGACTTACAATTCCTGCAGACGCCCCTTCTGAGGCAGCCAATGCTGGGTGGGCAGAGGAAGGGGCTGCTTGGTCCCTCTGCTGTGCCTTGCTGGCCCATTGGTGCCCCACACAAAGGACCCATTCTCTGCCCATTTCTACCACCTCCACTCAGAAGTTGTCCCTTGTTTTTTTTTTTTTTTTTTTCCTTAGGATACTTCAATAAAACAATCATAATGCCAGGCACAATGCCCAGTGTTTTGCACATAACGATTCACTCAGCTATGTGAGTCTGGGCTGTGAGGATGCCATCTTAGGGATGCAAAGCTGGGCTCAGCCATGTCACTTGGTGTCACTCAAGGCCTCCCACATCCCCTGCCCACCCCCTCTGGGTCTCACACTGCCTCCCCTCCCCCACCCCCAGGTATAGCTTGCTCATCTGCAGTGCGGCTCCACGTGGCCCCAAGGAGAGAGCGTAGGTGCGCTGAGCAGGATGGTACAGCAGCAGGCCTTGGGCGGCTTGAATGCAGGGTTCCCCATGGAGGCTTACTTTCCAGGCATGTAGGGGGTTGGTTCTAGAGTGTTCCTGACAGCACTGTTTAAAAACACCAAAATTACAAAATAATTCTACGTATAATTCTATATAATCATGGAAAAAAGATTTCAAAAGGAGAAAAAAAGAAAAAGAAATCTATATAATCATGGAAAATGATAATATAAATGTTTATTTCCTTAGAAAGATGTTTATAAGAACTTAGGTGAAAAACTAGAGTAGGAAGTGGAATAAGTCATATCCCTCCAGGATGTCAGAATGTGCTTCTGGATGGCCAGGATATTGGTTATTTTTTTTTTTCTCTCTGCATTTCTGGGTTTTAGCATTTTTCTATACTAAGTAAGTTCATTTAACAATGAAAATTATCAAGGTGCAGATGTGCTAACAGGTGCGGGAGCTTCCACCATTCCTTCATCCTCACTTAGAACCCTGTGGACTATGGTTTCAATGAGACTAGGTACAGAGAAATCACATAACATGGGCCTGTAGCCTGAAGAGCAGCTGCTGGATCAGGACTGGAGCTCAACACAACACCTGAGCTCACTCACTGAGACACAGGTTAGACCTGACCTTGCCACTGGTCCCTCAGCCTTATCTCACTGAGGGTCAAGACCAGAGCCCTCAGAGCAGCCCATGACACTCCTCTGTGTTGAGTAACATGGCAGCCGTAGCCACATGGATCTATTTAAACTTGAATTACCTAAAATCAAACACACCCAACAATTAGTTCCTCAGCCAAACTACCACATTCCAAGTATTCGGCTGCCACAGGTAGTTAATGCCTATCACACTGAGCACAGATGTAGAACATTTGCAGTATCTCAGAAAATTCTATTGGACAACACTGTCTTCTAGGATCTGACCCCTATTAAGTTTGACTTCATTGTCCTCCACCCACAGGCAACACTCTGATATTCCTGCAAAATGCCTCAGGGTTTTGCACTTGCTGTTCTCTCAGCCTAGAATTCTCTACCCCAGAGACACATATGACTGGCTTCCCAACTTCATCTGGGGCTTTTCTCAAATGTCACTTGTCATTATAGCCTTTCCCAGATACCCCATAAGGCTGTCACTGCTGTCCCCCATTACTATCCCCTTACCTGTCTCCTTTGCACTACAGGTGGCACTAGTTTGTTTACTGTCTCTCTTCCTCTAAGCACTAAGAAGGCAGACAATTTTGCATGTTTTGGTCACAGCTGCACCCT